GTCGTTGTGGATTGTTTTCAATGCATGGAAGACAAGCTGTCAGCCGCGGCTGCTACATGAGCACTTCCAATATGGCACCACTCTGAGATGTGATGCACTTCTTCTCCTTGCGAAGTTTCGGGATCAACGATGCCAAGTTCGACGAAAACTCAAATGCGCCAAGGTCAAGCACATGGAGCAATGCCTGGAGCAGGTCACGGAGCACACTGCGGCCTCCTCCATCCTGCGCATCCTGAGAGGCTTCATTGGTCCCACCAATCCAAAGAAGCAGAAGAAGGGCACGCTGCCGATGCTTGAGAAGGACGATGGAACGATCTGCACAACATCGGAAGAAGCTTTGCAAGTCTGGATCAAGTTCTTTGCCGAGATGGAGGGAGGCAAAAGACAGTCCATTGAGGAGTTACATGCTGACTGGCTGAACGACTTGCGCTCTGAGCCGACTGAGCCGTTCCAGATCCCGGTGAAGGAACTACCTACTTTGGCAGACCTTGAACTGGCCTATCGACGAGTTGCAGTTGGCAAGGCGACTGGACCAGATCGTGTACCAGGTGAACTATGTCATTTGGCACCTGCCGCCTGCGCACGAGCTACGTATTCCTCCCTCTGGAAACTTTTGCTGTTTGGCCATGAAGCACTACGGTACAAAGGTGGATTGCTTGTACAAGCGTACAAAGGCAAGGGTCAGACCACTGCGTGCAGCTCTTACCGTTCATTGTTGATTTCCAGCCACATCGGGAAATCCTTGCATCGCACCATCAGATGTTCTCAAGCCTGTATCTTCGAAACGTTTTTACAGGCACAACAGCTCGGAGGCCGTCGGGCCATGCCTGTGACCTATGGAGTTCATTTGGTTCGAGCATTTCATCGGCAAGCACGACATCATGGTCACTCATGTGCCCTCATCATGCTCGACCTCAAGGAGGCATTCTATAGAATCTTCAGACCGATTTGCATGGAGGGTGCGGTCACTGACCAAGCGATTGCTCAGCTCATGCAGAGATTGAAGATGCCAGAAGATGCAATGACAGAACTCCACAGTCTTCTACGTGGACCTTGTGCATTGGAACAAGCAGGCATGAATCCGCAGCAAAGACGCAGCATCCGAGCAGTGCACTCGCAAACCTTCTTCTGGATGCACCACCAGCATGATGTGGTTCAGACTACACATGGTTCCAGACCTGGTGACCCGTTCGCAGATGTGATATTTAGCTATGTCTGGGCTGTGGTGTTGAAAAAGTTGCAAGATTTCATGCAGCAGCAGAACATCCTCAGTGCATTTCCGTCCAGACCCACATTGATGCTTTTCACAGATGATCCACCAGAGGCAGCTACCCGTGAGCAATTTGTCGGACCAACTTGGATGGACGATTTATGTGTCTGCGTGGAGGGACATTGTCCTGCGCAGACCATTACAAGAGCGTCTCTGGCGACGGGCCGCCTCCTTGAACTCTGCATGGAGCATTGTATGACTCCGAATTTGCAGCCAAACAAAACTGAAATCCTCTTCTCTCTACGTGGAGAGGCGTCGAGACAGCACAAGAAAGAGCTCTATGGGGTACACGCGACTGGTCACTTACCAATCGTCTGCGAATATGGCACTTTTCAGGTTCCTGTCGCATCGAGGTACTGTCATCTTGGAGGGCTTGTACACCATGTGGCGGATCAACAGGCCGAGATCAAACGAAGAATCGCCATTGCTAATACTGCAATGACACAACACAGCAAACTTGTGTTCCGCAATTGGGCAATTCCCTTGATGAAGCGGGTACAATTGTTTGAGGCGTTGATCTTGAGCAAACTGCTGTATGGAGCCGACACATGGATAGTCACAGATGACAAAACAGAAAAGTACTTCCATGCGGCCACCATCAGACTATATCGAAGACTCCTCCCTGTTCCACATGACCAGCATCTACATGATCTTGAAGTTCTAGCACAGGTAAAACTACCGAGCCCCATTGAACTCCTTCGCCGTGCGAGACTGCGCTATGTGGCCACGCTACTGCACAGCGGACCGCGACGAGAGTGGGGACTACTCGAGCAAGATCGGCAGTGGATCCTTCTGGTTGAAGAAGACATGAACTGGGTATGGAAGCAGCTCCAAAATAGCTCAAGTCTTGGCCGGCCCCAAGATCATTGGGCTCAATGGCATGGTCTGATCTTACACCACCGAACGTACTGGAGGAAACTTGTTCGCCGTGCATGTGAACATGCCATCCTTCAAAGAAGCAATGAGTGGCATATCCTGCACTTTCATCATCTTGCGGTACAAGGACTCAGAGCTTTCTTTGAGTATGTGCCACATGACGAGGAAGAAGCAGAAGACACTGGAGTTACATTTGGATGTCTTGCCTGCCGCAAACGATGTCGTTCCCATGCAGGCGAAGCAGCACACATGTTCAAGGTCCACCATCACTATGCCAGCAGACGCAGCTTGGTGGACTCGACAAGCTGCCCAGCTTGTCTCAAGGAGTACCACACTATGGAAAAGATAACGGCACACTTGTATTACCCCAAAAGATGCAGACGCCTCCTGCAAAGCCGCAATTACACCTGCGCTCCAGAACCAGGTACAGGTTCTGCCAGGGACAGAAAGTTGAAGAACCAACATGATCGACTTCTTCCACCTCTCCGCCTTGAAGGACCGCAGCAACCTGCTCCGCGGCTTAGGGAGGACCCTGGCATTGACAATGACCTGCACATGGCAATCATGGAAATCTGTATTGATGCGCCTACGATGACGGACGCTATATGAATCAGATACAGAATGAAGCGAGGGTACGAGCTATCTCCTGGACTACCTGGACGCGCACTTTGCACTTCTTTGAGGACTCCCTGAACGATGCGGACATTGATCACTGGAGGGTCACCATTGCGCAGGTCAAGCAAGAGCTGAGCACTCTGCGACAACCGCGCGAGTGGGGACTGGATGAGCCGCTTCGCAAGGAGATCAAGATCAGTGAGACCAGAGCAGCCCTCGAGCGTGAGTGCATGGACTTTGCAGTGACAGACTGGAGCATGTATCCTGCGATTCCTAGGGCGTTTGGGCGGCACCGTGTGTTCCTTCACCTTTTTGCAGGACGCCGACGTCGAGGGGACCTTCAATTTTACCTTGACAACATGCCTCCGCCGAGTGCATACGTGCTTCACGTTGTCAGCGTTGACATTGTGATTGACCCTGTCTGGGGTGACGCTACTGCCACTCAGACAAGGACGTACTGGCTACGTATGGCGCAGGAAGGCTTCATTGCAGGGTTCATTGCAGGGCCTCCCTGCGAGACTTGGTCGAGAGCACGCGGAAAACAAGTGGCAGGACAACAGAAGGAGCAGCATGCTCCACGAATTGTCAGGACGGAGGAACACCTTTGGGGCCTTCCCAGCCTGGCTCTGAAGGAACTAGTCCAGGTTGCCACTGGTAATGAGCTGCTTACCTTCACTTTGTTATTGGCTTCTGTGATGGTCCAAACGGGCGGCCTTGGCATTGTGGAGCACCCAGCGGAACCCGAGGAAGAACAGGCGGCAGCGATTTGGAAGCTGCCATTTGTTCAGGCGCTCCTTGCGGCTCCTGGAGTTACCAGGCGTCGACTGGCACAAGGGCTCTTTGGCGCCCCGTCGCCGAAGCCGACGGACCTCCTGGTCATCAACCTTCCCGACCTTGCGCTTGAGCTGAGACAGTGGATGACTAGATCGGCTTTGCCAAAGGGTAAGGCGATAGGTCTGAGCCAAGAGGGCAATTGGAAGACAGGATTCCTGAAGGAATACCCGCCCGCTTTTTGCGGTGCAATGGCCACTGCAATTCGCAAGGGCCTTGATAGCATGGAGATGGCAGCACAAGCTTCCCCTTCGCCGGAAGACCTACAGAGATGGACAGCCATGAATTTGGCTACGTACAGCAGACATCTCGGCACAGACTTTGCGAAGTAGGAACTGCCATCTTTCGAATTCATTGACAGCACCGGTCGCAGCGTAAAGCATCAATGGACCGTGGGAAAAAAATATATGGTCGTTCCATGTCGTTCCAGTGAAACGCTTGAGGTGATGAACTGATGGAACCTTAGCCTGGATGCTGTCAACATAAGATCTGGGGTGATAAGCTACAGAAATGCAAAGCCTACTGCAATGCAAAATAATGGATCAGGAGTCAGGAGCAAAGAATTGGGTCATTTTGGCAGCCAAATTTGATCCACGACAGTGATCTTGTTATTGACAGGCAGGGCGTTGGCGCTGACAATGAATACTCATGTCTATAGCGAGAAGAGCTACTGGCAACATTCCTTTTAGATCCTTTTAGTAGATCATGAACATGGTCCCCAATGAGGATTCCTTGGAACTGTCATCATCCCAATTATAAAATGTATGTACATCCCTGAATATCGGCTAAGCAATCACATTGTCAGTGTCTCTCAAAAATGTAAGGAAATTATCATAAGATGATGATAAATTATGGGTTTGTAGGTTACCTGGTCTATTAACAGTTAAACTGTCTTGCAATAGGGCACCCCATGCCGTCTTATATTTGTCATGTGCTGCGGGTATCCCATACATTTGGACAAACCCAAATTGTCATACTGTTGAATATAGCCGATCCAAGTATGGCCGGTGTCATATCCCCATTTATTCACTTACTTCAATCCCCCATATTTTCAACGAACCACGACCGCGTTGACATCAACTGGTTGGTTTCACCCCTGAACCTTCCTTTTTTGGGTGGAATGTTGATTGGAAAAAGAGCAAATCCCCTTCAGTAAACCCAGGTATACCCATGACCCTCTGGTAATTCAACAGTTAGCTGTGGAAAATCAGCATGTTTAATAGGTGAATCATCTATAATCATCTATAAATGGGTCATTTTCCATAGCACTGTCGAAATGTTGGGTACCAGTTATCATCATCACAATTTTAGATTGACTAATTACTATCCCATAATCATCCCAGTCATGAAAAAACAACACCTGTATTCATTGCCGGAGGATTCTCCATGATTCATTCAGCTCAGTCACTGTGCCAACTCTTTCTGGCAGCTCCGAGGGCCTCTTCATTTCGAGTTCGCGCCTGCCGGAAGCGTAGCACTGCCGGCGTGGCTGGTGTCATGCAAGAGATTGAGCAAACATATCGTCCAAAGATCTAGGTAAATCATAATAATTCACTAATCTGAAATATTGTTATTTTGGGATAGTTACTTGAATCCTAACCATCATTCCAGTGAGGTCGCAGTGAGGTCATCATAATTTACCCAGAAAGATGTAGAAATATGTCTGAAGTATGTAAATATACTGTATCTCACTGATACTTACTTTATTTTCTGATGTTCTAACGCTCACGTGCTGAAAACCCCATTGCCCTCCACCTCCACAAACTCCCCTGAGAGGGGGCTCTCTCTGAAAATGGGGGATAACCCCTATATCCACTGGCTAATCATCATTTCCTTACTTACAGTAATTTCTACAAGTTGGTGGGTATCTATAGCTCCAATTTCAGACATACCAGATATCATATCAAGTTGGTTAGTCATATCCCGTCAAATATCCTGTAAAAATTTCCCGTTGTTGTTAGTTATATTAACCCAAACAAACCAACCACCATTGGGGATAATTGTGTTCCTACAGTCCGTTGGTTAATCATCGTTTTTTACGTGGAAACTATATATATACACCATATATTGGTGGTACTAGTATTGATAGTCCATTTTCAGACCGAAACCCAAATATCATAGTTTATGGTTATATATCCCATGTTATCCCCGTTATAGGTTGTCCCCATTATGTCCTCATTACATCCATTTGGGGTATGGCCATTTGGGGGTATGTTTTACCATTTTCAGACACACATCCATCTTATATATCATATTGTTCGTTTTAGTTATAATTAATAGATATATATATATACACATAACCATAGTACATCCCCATGTTTTTTCCATCAAATCCCCATTTGTTCATGGTTAAATCCCCAATTCTCATTGTCTATGTGAGCTGGGAGAATCAAAGAAACCCATTCAAAGTATCTAAAAATGCTGTCTATATACGTTATATCCCAGTGTTGTTGCCTATATCCCCATTATCTAAAATGACCATTTCACTTGGGGCCAAGGATCAAATGTTTCACCCACTCGTGATGCTCAAAGTCCACCGCATGGGGCCCCACTTCGATGAATTTTCGCAGCCAAACCTTGGCTGCAACATTCATTTGGATGAGTTGATGGTCAAATGTCTTATAGATCATCTGAATAGTTACAATAGTCTATAAAATCGAGCCCGAAACTCCTTTATGGATTCTTTGCAACATGTGGTTAGGTAAACCTGCGAATCACAAGGTGGCCAGGTGTTGTGGAGCACCCATGCTGAGCAGCATGTTGCACAGCCAGCCAGCCAAGGAGATTTGTTAGCAGTTGTTAACCACTGATCATATTCTATATCTAGGTGGCTAAAGGACATCTCAGACTGGTCAATGTTGAACGGTGAATGTGTATATATGTGTGTATATATATAATGCCTATGAAGCAAAGGATGTTCATCCCCAACCAGCTGACAGGTTAACAACCAATGGCCGATTTTCCATCGCTGATGTTGACAATAATGTGGCATTTACATGGGCTCTTTTCCGTTTTCCGCTTGCGGAATGGAAAGTTGAGATATAGATATCGATACTGAGATATTACAGTAGATACTAGATATTGGATATTAGATATTCAAAATTACATATTAGACATTAGACATTAGATATTATACAGACATAGACAATAGACAATAGATGAGAGATAACAGATCATGGATACTAGATAAATAATAGACAATAGATAATAGATATAACAGATATAATAGATATAATAGATATAATAGATATAATAGATATGATGGATATAATAGATATAATAGCCATAATAGACGATATAATAGGTATAATAGGCGATATAATAGACGATATAATAGATGATATGTTAGATATAATAGACGATGTAATAGATAATATAGACGGTAAAATAGATATAATAGACGATATAATAGATATAATAGATATAATGGACGATATAATAGATATACAGTAATAGACGATAAAATAGATATAATAGACGGTACAATAGATATCATAGATATCAAAGATATAATAGATATAATCGATATAATTGATATGATAGATATTATAGATATAAATGATATTATATATATTATAGACATTTTAGATATTATAGTATAGATTACAGATAATCGATGTGTATATATATATATACACACTGCAAATACACATGCCGCATATGCCCATTATCGTTGATGAGGCACCTTTAACGCTGATTTCCAGTGGCTTAAAATGTGTGACCCCAAAACCATCCAAAACTTTTGGTTTCCCCACGGAAAATTGCACATGTTACATGTTGGACGATTTTGGGCTCCCTCAAGAAATCTCCAAAGTCGTCCTCGATGTCTCCGAGCGGCTCCCAGAAGGAAGTCGGTAGTGGGAAACTGCTCCCCCGTGGTCAGTGAAACTCCTCTGCGGCAAGCAATTTCCGAGGTGCCACATTGCAAAAGGAAGGGAGTTGAGCATGGTTGAAGTAGTTTTCATGGCTCACCTCACCTCAGAGATTCTGCAAAAAATGATAAAAATACTACTATATGAATATTAATTATATGTATTCATGTTATTTTATTTTTCAGTCCACCTCAGCAGAGCAACTGCAATAATATTGCTCGGGCTATCCCTCCAACAAAAATATGAGGATCCGGGATAACCAACTTGCTTCCTTCGCGAAACGTCGCTATCCTCTGCTTGTGCTCGGGAAAACCAGGCGGGGTCAATCTCAAAATCATAGCAAAAAACATGGGATGATCGAATACGAAAAAGCGGAGAAAACAATCCGCCACCAGTGGTCCACACTTCTTGTCATGCACCTACCATGGACTCCAGGCGCTCCACCCACCTTCGGTGTATTCCCTCTGCATGGACGGGTCGATACTGAGCACCTGGCGCTGTTGGCACACTCTGAGACGGTTCCAGTACACACCAAAACTCACCAAGAGCCCAAGAGCTCCGGGTTTACCAAAAAATCTTCAAAAAACATCGGGTTTTGGGAGGTTCATTCGGATCTTCAAACAGTTCTGCCTCTCCGTAAGCATAGACATCGGCTTTGTCCACATAGTTGGCAATGTGCTCTGGCCGCATATGCCTGGGCGTTTGGCTTCGTCCAGGTGCCTTGCCATATTTCGGAAATGATGAACCACCCTATTGTTGGACAAAGAAAAGTATGGGACCAAGGAAAAAGATTCGGATTTCTGTTCCCAGCGAAGTCTTGGCAGACCAACCCTAGAAAAGTATCATTTTCATTCATTTTCTCTAATGGCCTTGCAGAAACACAAGGTAAATCTGCATAGCTTGAAGCTAAATGTTCTACAAATTTCATTGCTTCTCCCAGCAACTTCCAAGTTCCACCAGTTTCGACCATGGCACTTGGCTGCATCGAAACGGAAGCCTGAGACGCCACAGCTCTTCCTAAGCATCCGGGTCAAGCTGGGAGAAATCCCGCAATTCAAACTAAAATGCAAACAACACGAACTGGGAATTAACCAGCCTAAATAGCGAATATGACTGACAAAAATTGAAAATTCGCCAAAATGAATTGGAATTTAAGTTTGGCCAAAATGGCATCTGACCCGTAAAAAATTGGAATTTACCCGGCAATCAAAAAAGATACAAAAAAATAGCAATTTACATGTCCCCCAAAAAAATGTGCTTTTCGTTGGCCGGTTCAGTATGCACAGATACACCATCATTTTTTGGGGAGGGTATCTTTTTTTCGACCATCACCAGGCCAGAAGTGGCCATGCATGCGAGCCGCAGTTTGGCCACATGGGCATTGTGCACTGAAACCACTTTGGGGGCACCACCCTGCCACGGTGCCACTTCAGGTGGAACCGAATAGTGAGAGATCCCCGCTTTTTGGGCAACGCCCGGATTGGGTTGGTTATGTACAACATTTTGGAATACACTTGAAGACACCAACCCTTGTCTTTGCTGGATCTACACCTATTTCTTGATGGTTAGATCTCCAGGTGCTAGTAGCATATTTGCTGCCCACCTCAACCATTTTGTTGGTGTTCCCTCTCATTTGCTGATCAAGACCCAAATTCAGCTCTATATATATATATAATATACCCAATTGGATCCAATTTGCTGATATATTATGCTGCTTATGCTGTTTACTCTCAATCCTCAGTTTTGGTCCTTTTGGTGGTTACAAAGTGACAAACGCATTCTGAACGCATTCTTACGTGCGAAAACCCCTGTGCTAGGGTCGTGGGAATCGGTTCACGGTCATGGGAATCCCATTTCATGGGAATCCAACCAAAAAGGTTAAAAAAAAAAACATACTATGACTATGAGAATGGATTGGATTGACGACCATCCCCCATGGAAAAACAACCCATGTCTTGATCACGGCACATATCAAGATCCCCCCCATTCCTTTGCTGACGGCCTTTAGCTCGGACCATTCTCCGCAGCCCCAACCCTCCATGCGCTGCTCGCCATCCCAATCGTCTCCTAGGGCTCAAAACTGAGGTTTGGGGGTTCTGACATTGAACCAACCAAATTGAAGATTTAAAGTCCGATAGTTCACGTATGTTTTTTGATAACCCACCAATTTCTGGCGGAAATTGGTAAATGAGGTATGGTGTCTAGTTGGTTGTGCCACATTGGTCACGAGGGTTGCACCAACGTAGTCAAACAATCGAAAATCCGGATGGTAAATGGTAAAAACGATCCATCTATGGATATAAATGGTGGATTTCATATGGCCATGCAAACAACACCTCTCTGGAAGAGAACATCCTTACACCATGGGACTGGTTGATCATGTGTTAACAAAAGATACCATCTGGGGGGTTCAGCTGAGTTCAAGGGGTATCAACCAGGGATTTGTGGTCAAGATTCAGGTGGAAAAGACACACCCTTCAAGCCATGCGGACAAAAGACCTCTGTGGGGTTTGGGTGAGCTGATTATCCACAGTACCACCCCAAAATCCGGGGTAGAAAATCAGGCAAGAAACTCATTGGACGCTCTCAACAGCAACACTCAGATCTGGAACCCAAGAGATTTTTCTTTGGAGCTTTTGACCTATAGGACCTACTAATTAAAGACATTTAAAAACGAGGCTTTCCCCCTTTTTTGGAGGTCGGATTTCACCAAAGTAGCTTGTTGGGCTGACCACACTCTCATCCATGAACAGTCATTTCTATTCATTTCTAACAATACCAAGTGCTAACTAGAATTAATAGTAACAATAACTTTAAAAAAGACAAACTACTACAATCACTGTGATTCTATCATCAGTATTTTACCTATATAGGTAATAATAAACGTAAACACAAAAAAAATACAAGTAACTACAATAACCGTTGTAACTATAATTGATAGTATTAATAAGTATTACAAAGACTACAATAAAGACAACAATAAAGACTACAATAACAAAAACGACTACTGTTATTGTTATGATAGCTTTATAAAGTCTTTATAACCCATTCTTTGCTTGCACCTCTCCAACCTTTGCGGGTAAAAATGCAAGCAGCCTAGCCTTCCAGCGGATACCAAGGCCACTGGAAGTCGTCCCTGCAGCGAGAAGCTGTGGCCGGTGAAACCCCTGGCACATCCCAAAGAGAATGTTGAAAGGTGGCTGAATTCTATGGTGGTAAATAATTGTAAATATAAGTATAGTTAATGGGCTTCATAAACCAACAAACATAACTGGGGGGCACCATCCTGTAGCCCAGCTACGAATTTCATTGGCATGTTTTTTTTGGAACATGTATGGTGAAAATCATGGTGTTTTACCCCCAAACTGATCGGGGTTTCCCACGAATTGTCCCCATTCTGGGAGCATAGGAAGATCACAGCGGGATCCATCCTCAACTGGAGGAATTCCTATTGGTTGGTGAAAATGGATGAAGACTGGAAACCACTTAAGAACCAAATCCGCCCGCACCGAAGGTGCTGGGGCGTGATCTTCCGGATGGCACTCGTAAAAGGTTACAGGTTTACCTGGGGGGGGGGGTCCCATTTTTCGGCCAAAACCTCCTGTTTTTGATAGGTCGTGACGCTCGCCTTCAAAAAACACTGTAAAAAACAGTACGGAAGACACCTGTTCGTGAACGCGCCCGTCCAAAATCGGCAAGCGAAAAGTGAAAAAACCCCGTGTTTTTCAACTTTTTGACCTCAATTTTTTGGTTTGCAACATCTTTTTTTGCGGTTCCGCAGGTGGCCTGGCCCGGAGGCGGATTTTTGAGTTTTTGGACCCGTTTTCGGACTGATTTTCGTCGTTTTGTGATAGCAGAAACACTGGTTTTTACAGTGTTTTTCTGTTTTCTGCATGCTTGACGGCTAGCTTCAAAACTTCCAAAAACCTCGTAAATTACGCTGTTTTATGTTACGGTGTGAATGAAAACATCGTAAATACCAGTGTTTTTTGACGTTGGTTAAAAAAACACTGTAAATTACAGTGTTTTTGGCCACCTGACCCTCAAAAACCATGGTATTTGCAGTGGTTTCTGCTTCTCACCGCGCAAAAACACTGTAAATAACAGCAATTTCGCCGTTTTTTCATGTTTTTCGTTATTTTTTGAACTGCGTTGGTCCGCTATACATGGCTATCAAATTCTTCGCGTTTTTTTTTCCGACAATCAGTACTTTCGGATGTTTTTGGTCTCAATGGCCGACATCATTGGCAGTTACGAGCGGCTGCCCAACGATGCGGTGCGGGCGGTTGCCGTCGCGAAGCGACGTGAATATATCAAATGTAATCAAATATAAATTACAAGTCGTGTATATTATGTTATATAATATTGTACAATCATATCATGAATGGAAGAAACTGGGACTTCGTAACCATGGATAGTCCGACAGTCGCGGACTATCCACCGACCACCCCAGCGCCGGAGTGCAGGGACCGCACCTGTTGAAGGTTGGACCCAACTTCTGCGACAAGCGTCGCTGCAGGATTTCCATCAGCCCATCATCCTGGGAGCATCTGACCAGAGATAGTTGAATTAACCAGAGATGGTTGAATTAACCAGGTACATATCAACTGATCAACTGAAATTAACCAGATAGTCTGATCAAACCTCTCTTTTGTTGCGGCAGCGGACTGCCGAATGGTGGCAACATGTGGCAACATGGTCACAGGCTGTTCTCCTGTTGCGCTTTCCTCCATTCTTCGCAGCTAGCAACAACCTGGGGGTTGCTACTGACACGGGCGGTATGGCAAGAATTGGAGATCACCATCTGAAGCTGTCTTTCAAATCATCCAACATTGAACTCACCATGCAATTGGTATTTGGATGCATTTGGAGTATCTTCCCAATAAAACTAGGAGGGATGAAAATCGGACATCTCTAAGATCCAAAGCTGCCCTGATCATTGTGAAACCCAAATCACGGTGTTTCTCTAAGTTATGGACCCCCCAAACAAGATGGATTTCCATCGGATTCCTATGGATTCCTACTAAACATGTCTACCTTTGAATTGTCAATTTTGAGATCCCCCTACATGGGCTTCTGAATCCCCCGTTCCACCCCATGCTTCATCATTTTCCCATAGTTTCCCCATGATTTTCCCTATGGCCTGCATGTGGTTGAAGACCAGATCTCCAAAGACCAGCAGTCCAGCCTTCTCGCACGCCTTGCAGCAATTTCGCAGGTCCTCCAGCCGGTGATCATGATCACTGTCCGGGATCATCGACCAAAAGACGGCCCCACCTGTGGGAAAAAAACGTCGACATCAACAAAACATGGTGGTTTTTATTCGAGACAAATTCACAAGCTCACTCGCTTCTTGGCAACTTACACGAGTTCATGTGTTGGCAGTCACAAACAGATTCTGCGATGGACTAAACCGTGAAATGTCCGACAGGTTAACCGGATCACAAATTCCTTCTACATGCACGAGAATGTTGAATCAAGCTATGCCATACTGAAACAAGCAGTCACAAACCACGATGTCCTCTTGGGAAAAATAGAGGGGCCAGTCTCTTTGTCATCACTTACCTATTGGTTGTAAAGGAGAGGCTTAACCCTCTGTATATCAAGCAGCCAGCAGGAAACGACATCTGATATGTTTTCCATGTTGAGACGATTGCCCTACTCCTAGTCATGATTCTCCAATCCCATATCCCATGATATCCCATTTACACCATCATTTGTTGCTTAAATCTGCTTGAATCACCATTGGTGAAACCGCCGTCGCTCCTGCTCAGATCCCAAGCCATGGATCTCTTCATATTTCGTCGGTTGGTAGCGCGCCCACCATTGATCACCTGGTCGCAGACATCCCCAACAAAAGGAAAGGAGATACCTGTAGACATCATAAATCGTCAGAAAGTAAAGTGGGGAAAAACATCATCACTCATCATAAATCATCATCCCAAGGCTAAAACTTGGATTTATGGTCCAGGATTCATCTCCCCCACATCTTTGTCGAAAGGTGGGCGAAGCTCATCTGCCGGCCGTGGCACCTTCCACGGAGCGTTGGGCTGGGCTCAGTTGCACTGCATCAAAACCCAGGGCTGCGATGGTGTTGGCCTGGCCAGGTCTGGTGGAAATCAACATATTAGCTATATATCTTAATAAATAATTAACCCCATCATTAATGGTGTATATATATATATAGTATATATAATTGTTAATTATCACTACAGAATGGTATATTATATATACCAAAAATGATGAAAGGTCAGTACTTTTCAGGATGGATGAAAAACGACGGGTTCTTCATCATTTCCAAACGTCTAACTCTTTGGCAGTTTGGGGTTTGCCATATCTCAATACTAACTCCCATATCTCATGGGGCCCAAGGGATGGATCCAAGGGCCTAAATCAGGGTTGATACAGGGTGATAACTAATGTTAGGAAGGAGTTTGGAGTGTATTACAAATATGATAGCATAATTATATAGTAACATAGTACTTACAGGACTTCACGAAAAGATGGTACATGGACTGCGCAAGATAAGATGGCACATCGACCAAATGTCAAAAAATATATATGATTGCAT